TCCCAAGGAGACAGAAAGTGAAGGAAACCACCCCCAAAGACAAAAACCCATGGAAACCCACAGCCCCAAGAAGGACAAAACCCCTGGGCAAAGCTGAGTATCTGCACGTGGAGCTGCGCTGCTCCGACCCGCGGTGGCTCCAGCCTCTCCAGCCCCTTTCCTGTCAGCACTGCCAAAATCCCGATTCCAGCCCCGGCGCTCCACTGCACCCCAAGGGGAAACAGGAGGAAACGTGCGCTTCGTTCTCCACTTCGTTCTACCCAGTGTTAAGGTTTAGACTCTCACTGTTGTTTTTTTCGTGTCGTGCCTTTTTGGGTTGACCGCGTTCTTTTGGTGAAACGCCGCGCGTTGGTTTCGGTTGTGGTTTTTTTGTTGGCATTTTGGTTTTTTTCCCCCTTTTCGTCCCACTTTGAAGCAGTTCTCCTCTGACCTTTGCACTGTTTGGACGTGCTCCTCTCCAACGCACCAGCATCGAAAAAAAAAACAAAACCAAACCACAAAACCCAACAAACTCAAACCTTCGGCAAACGATGCTGTCGGATGGGCACACGAAGGTCGAACCCAAAACCACGGGCTTTTCCCCCAGAACTCCAGGTGAGAGCTTGGGGCAGCGTCCCGGAGCCGCCAGCCTTTCCTCGAATTCACGGATCCACCAGCATTACGCAGAGATAAGCTGCAGCAATGAGATTTTTTTTGGTAGATTGTTGGAAAAAAGGGGGGAAGCGAGGAGCACCCCCTGCGTTTACACAGACGTGCGAATCCGAACCGCGCTGCTTGGGGATGGAGAAGCCCCCAGCCCTGGGCGCCGGACCCCATCCCACCCCCAGGCCTCAATCTGGGGCAGAACAAAGCCAGCAGCAGAGGCTTCTCCATCCCCACCTCAGGAGCCTTTCCCACCTCAGTGGCTTTTGATGCATTTTCATTGCCCTTCCCGTTTGTTTTATTCCTTTTCCCCCTTTTTTCCTTCCCATTTTCCCCCAAGACTCCTCGGCTTTTTAGCATCACTTTTGAGTTCTGGCATCTTCTGAGCGATAGACACGGAGTGAAAGGGGAGCAGCAGATGGGAGGATGCAAGATTTCCTTTCCAGGCGTTCAATTCCCGTTGTACATAGCACGTCACTGCGAATCCTGTGTCAAGACCATAAAATGGTGCTTCTTTTTGTTTTGGTTTTTTTTTCTTACAAGTTTTAGCACACGCGTTTGGTTTTTTTTTTTTTTAGAGTACGTGTTTTAGACAGAGCTGGCCGTGTGTGTGTCTACTTCTGTATTGTTGGATTGTTAGAAAATAAATTATTTCAGTACCAATGGCCGTGTGCTGCTGTGGGAGGAGGGCTGGGATGCGGCGGGGCGCCGCTGCTGGGGGTGCCGTGCCTGCAGCCCCTGCCTGCAGGAATTGGGGTCCTGGGCTGCTCTCTCCCCCCCCAAGTCCAGGTGCATCAACCTGAGGAGGGAACGAGGCCGGCAATGCCCTCCTCCATCCGTGGGGAAGATGCAGCTGGGTTCTGCTGCAGGATGCCAGCAAGGAGAGGCTGAAGTTCAGGTAAATGCTGGCAGTTGTCCCCCGGAGGTGCCAAGACCCCCAGCCCTGCTCTCTGCTCCCCCCAGGTCCTTGCTCATTGCTGGTTTCCCCCTCCCCTCGCTCTGGGTTGAAGCTGGGGCTTCCCTGGCTGCGAGTGTGCACTGCAGCAGGGGTGCAGCCCCCTTGCCCTTCCCAGCTTGCTTTCCTGGGTGCAGAGAGGAGCAGCGTGCACCTGGTGAGCAGCACTTTTTATTTTTTCCAGGTGCGGCAGCAGCTTTGTGCTTGGTTTCTTTCTCTCTTTCTGGCTGACGTGGCCGTGGTGGCAGTTCTGGAGTGCAGCCCTGGAGCTCAGGGGAAGGTGATGGTGGTGAGTGGAGCGAGTTCCAGGGTGGGCTCCAGTGCTGGTGGCTGTTGGGTGGGGAAGGAGGTGGGGGGCTGACGGCCACCCTGGTGCCCGTACTCAAACTTGATGCGCAGCTCTCCGATGTGGGAGTGAGGTAGGATGTTGGGGATCCACTCAATGATGAACGGCGTGGGCTCCTTCTGGGTGGGAGAGGTGTTTCCTACAAGGGGAGGGGGGGAGAAGAGGGTGAGTGGGGGGCCCTGGGCTTCACCTCGGTGGTGGGGTGGGTGTTCTTGGGGCTGCTGGTGCAGGGGTTGTGTTTCTGGGGCATGTAGGTGTGCGTAACGGGCATCTGGAGTTGTGGAGGTGAACCTGGGGACTGGGAAAACGTCGTTCTGTGGCTGCTTTTTGTGGGAGGGGGGTGGAGATGGTGACAGAAATCATCTCAGAGATGGTGGGGGGGTGGGTTCCATCCGTGCCTGTGTAGTTGAGTGGTGGAGGGGGAGGGCCACCTACTGGGGGGCACCGCTCTGGGTGCAGGTCTGGGGTAGAGCCCCTTATGGGAACAGCTCCCCCTGCGTGAGGGTGTGAGGGGGAGACCCCCAGCTATGGCAGGACCCCTTGGTGTGGGGCTGTGAAGGGGAGAACCCCTCCTGGAGAGGGTGTCTGTCTCCTGGGTGGGGTCTGGAAGCATTCCTTAGTGCTTGGGGGGCTCCGTGGTGGTGGTGCTGCTTGGTGGAGCCCCACTCCCCAGGCAGGGAGGTGCCCATCCAGCCCGTATCTTCCTCCAACATTTGTGCAGACATCTCAAGGGCTGCCCTGGCAGCGCAGGGGGAGGAATCAACCCCCAGATGGGCCGAGAGGAGAATTCCCTCCTTCGCTTACCCACTTTGAGGAAGGTCTTGAGCTCCAGCGGGCGGATGGCCGGCTGCTTCTCCAGGCGCCCGTACGTCTCAGCGATGCTCTCCACCTCCACCTTGGGGCACCTGAAGAGCTCATAGGTGCCGTCCCGGTTCTGGATGAAGCTTCGTGTGATTTCCAGAGGCAGCTGCTGGGAAGCAGCGGGGTGAAGGGCTCGGTAACGGTAGGCAGAGCAGGGTGGGGTGTGTGATTCCCCCTTACCTCGGGCGTATCGAAGATCTGCTTGACCTGCAGGATGTTGGTGATGTGCCACGTGTATTTGGAGAAGGTCCCCAGGGGAAGGGCGTCTTTGCGGACAAACGCTGCGGGGAAGGAAAGCGCAGTTAAAGGTGGGGGGAAGGAGCGAGGCTGGTGATGCAACTTGCTCTTCCTCACTTCTTTTTCCTTCCGGGCTGCAGGGAGGGCGCTTTGCCTTGGCTGGGAGGCGAGCCTTCAGTCTGCTGCTTTGCGCTGTGCTCTGGACTCTCCTGCTCTCAGTTAAGAGCACAATGAGGAGGTAAAGCTGGCTTGGCACTCGGGGGGCTGCTCAGAGTCCGTGGGCTCTTTATGCTCAGCTGGGGGCCCAGTGGTGCTCCTGAAGTCGGAACTTCAGGTAACTGTGCTGAGAGCTCTGCGTGGCTGCTCAAGCATTGTCTTACATCAGTGTGAAGTGTAAAGCAGCAGAGAGAAACATTTCAGATCAAGTGCTCTGCAGTCCGTGTGGCTCAAAAGCAGCAGCAGAACTGAGCAGAAGCTGCAGGGAAGGCGCTGTTTGCTCTGAGTCTCCGCTGCCTTCATTCTTCCAGCTCTAACGCCAGTCAAACTGTTACACAGCTGCTGCCAGTGGCCGAGTGCTGAGCCTGCAGCCAGGCTGCACTGAGGCTGCAGCTGTTACAGCCCCCCTGGGAGCACAGGCTGTGGCTCCTGCTTAACGGAGCCTTCTGCCCCTAAGGCTGCTAGAAACAAGGGGGGGTGTCAGCTTCCTGCTGGCTTTTCCTTGCCTCAGGTGGGATGCAGAGTGCTTGCAATGTTTCCTACCTGTAGTGGAGTTGGGCAACCTCTTCTTTGTACTCCCACTGGATATCCTCTGCTGCAGTGCATCAAAGAAAGCCTGTGGGATGTGGAACACCAGCGGCTCGGGCTTCCCTGCATGGTCACAGAGAGGGCAGGGCTCAGGGCAAGAGAGGCACTGCTGCTTACAGGCAAATAAAAGGTTGGAAAGAAGTGCGTGTTCAGGTGGAGACCAGCATCTGGCTGGAACAGCAGTGCTGGTGTTCCACTGCCAGTGATGTGTTTTACATTTACTTTCTCGTGCTGTGGGCTCGGCCCAGCTGTGGGCAATGCTGGGCACAGCCTGGTGCCGTCAGGTTCATTCCTTCCACCTCCAGGCATCAGCTCCCCAGGCTGAGCAGCCCTGGCTCTCTCTGCCAGCTGCTGCCATCCCTTCTCCCCCCTCGGGGGGCTCTGTTTTGTCTGCAGGAGCACCGCAGGGCAGCAGAAAGGGCTTTCTTTCTGCTTGGGAGCAGCTCACTGGAGGCCAAGGGCATCGCTGAACTCCTTTGCCAGACACCTCAGAGACATCTGCCAGAGAGCAGAGCGTGTCCTACTGACAAACTGACGTTGCTCTGACAGGGTTTGGAAAGAGACCCCCGAAATGTGTTTGTCCTCTTCAGGAGGGCCCAGCTGGATCTGTGTGCAGGCCAGGCTGCACAGCTTGCGGCAGCTGGGAGCCTTATGCAGCACAGCCCCACGGTGAGGATTTTCACAGCTCTGCTGTGCTCCGTGGCTGAGCTGCGTGCCACAGGGGATGCAGAAACAGCCATCAGCCATAGCTGTGCAGAGCTCTGCCCTGAGGGCACGTGGGGGACAGCAGCACCTCCAGACTGGTGAGGGAGCATTTCTCAGATGCCACCTGAGGCACCTCACCTCACCTCACCTCACCTCACCTCTTCTGCCTGGCTCTGGGAGGGTTCTTCAGAATAAATAACCTCTAAGGGAGTTTCTCCCTTCCCTCAGCAATAAACACCGGGCTTTTGTGAAGCTAACGCCTCGATTGGGGAACAAAGCAAAGCCAACGGGTAAAAACAACATTCGCTCTGAGCTGAGCAAAGCAGGTGCCTCCCTTTGGGCGAAGTTATTTCACGGTCAGGAGCTGGAAGGAGGCTCCCACCACGCTCCCAAAGCCCAGCTTACCCTCAAACTGGTAATGCATGGTCTGATGGATGCGCTCAGTGACGCTGGCCAGCCAGTCTTGGAAGGACAGGGTAACTTGTGACTCGTCCAGAAGTTGGTTACAACCTGTGAGGCGAAGGAGAGAGACGTCAGCTCCAGCTGTCTGGATTTGGGTTTTTTACCCAAAGGATTTTGCAGTGCCATACTGACCCTTCTGTCCAGCACACGCCTGTGAATGCTCAGAGATAACAGTTAGGACACACATGCCAAGGAGAATCGCTTGAGGAGGACGCTGCCATGGCAGTTTGCGTCTCCTTTCCCTGCAGCACAGAGCCAGGTGGGCAGCCAGAGCCCCAAAGTTCCTTCTGGACAAGTATTCATCCCTAAAAACCCCAACTTTGCCCCATTTCCATCTGGGATGGATAGCTCTGGACATCAGCACCACCAGCACCAAAAAACACAGAGCGTGGAGCCGAGCCCTACCTTGCCTTTTCAGCGAGGCAGCAACCGTGGGCTTCTTCAGGCTGCTTCTCCTTAGGCCGGCCGTGTCCTGAGCCAGGAGAGGCCCTGGGGAAAGGAGGGCAGGTTGGGGCACACGCTGTGCTGATGCCTCAGCCCCATCCCTGCCCAGCGCGGCACTCACCGCCCGTCAACTCCTTTTTCCTCTTCTTGGCCTTGGCAGCCTCGCCAGCCTGCAGGGTGGACTCGGGGCCGCACAGCAGCGGAGGGACGGCGACCCCCTTCACACCTAAGGAGGGACAGCAGGCGGTCATGAAAAGCACCTCTGCCTCACCTCGCTGCCCTGCTGGGGGGACTCGCATCCAGCCCACGCTCCACAACCGACCCTGAATGGGGCTGGCAGGACTGATCCACGCAGACAGAGGAAGAAAAACAGGAGCCTCGAGCCAAATATTTGGGGTTTGGCTTGTTTTCAGCTTCACCTGACAGGCAGGGAGCGCTCCTCAAAGCAGTGAGCAGGAAACGTGCCGAGTGCTGCACGTGGAGTTCCCACATCCTGAGCTGCTGCCTGCAAAAACCGCACAGAAAACCAGAACCAAAACCAGGGGAAAAGCCCAGAGTGGAAAGGCGAGGCTGCAGAGACAGGCAGCTCTCCTGGGGGTGGAAAGGATCGTCGCTGGGGGCTCCTGGGCACTGTGTTCTGCTCCCTGCTCAGGTCCAGCTGGGCACCGTGTGTTGTCCCCAGGGGGATTGAAGGGAACAGTGCTGTACCCTAAGCACTACTGAGCCTAGCAGAACTGAGATGGGGAGAGGTTTTAATTAGCTCGGGTTAATTCACCTAGAGCAGTCTGTGTTAGGGAGCATTCCAAATGCTTTCAGGTGCCTCATAGGACCAGCTGGGTGCAGCCTTCGGGCCGCAGAGCTCACAAACCCGGTGACTTCTGCCCCATGTGGATTTCACAACACCTTCAGCTTCGCTGCTCTTGCCCAAAAGGAAGAAGACACCCAGTTCCCATCCCACAAGAGGAAGCTCCACTTGCTACAAGCGTCGATTGCAGCAAAGCAAAGGGGACCCGTCCCCCAGGGCAGCCCCCTGCTCTGCTCTCACACCTGCATCTCACAGCCTGCGAGCGCTTCCTGGTGGGAGGGGGAATGAAATGAAGCCCCAGCCGACAAAGCGCGCATGGGGAGCTGGTGTGAGGGCTGCCCTCAGGCCAGCACTGCCTGCGGCGTGAGCAGGAGCAATAGGGTGGCCTGCTCCCTTTGGCTCCCCATTTATTCCCCTCTCAAAATCCCCGAATCAGCCTCAGATACCGCTTGAGTCGTGGGTGAGGAAGTCGGCAAACTCCTGGGCCAGGCTCTCGTCGCTGGCAAAGGCACAGATGCAGGCGAAGAAGTGAATGCACCTCTGTGCTGCTGCCTCCTCCTTGGCCGAGGCGGCCTTGCCAGGCTTCAGGGTCTGGCAGGAGCAGAAGAACCTGTGCTCCGCCAGCGTCTTCGTGCTCATCTTCTGGGCGAAGGAGGCGTGCAGGTAGCCCAGGCTGTGCTTTTGGCTGGCCTTACACTTCACCACCAGGACGCTTTTGGTGATCCTCTGCACCAGTGGCCCCGTGGGCTCCGTGGCCAGCTGCCAAATAGTCTGTTTCATTTCGGGAGAGGCCTGCATGGAGTTGAGCACCGAGCTTTTCAGGGTCAGCGGGGTGGCCTCGGTCTGACAGTTCAAGGCCAGTTTGACGTGCTGGCATTGATTCTCCACCACACCCTGCGTGGCCGCCTTCAGGCAAGCCGGGACGTAGCAGCGGCCGGAGCTGAGCTGCGTGATGATGGTCCCGTCCACCGTCTGGATGGCCGTTTCTGAAACACCCAGCTCTACAAAGCAGCGATAATCCGGGCCCCGGTCCCGCTGACGCACCGAGTAGAGCTGCAGGTCGGAGCCGGTGATGATCTTAACAGCATCGACCCCGGGCTGCTTGCGTGAGCCGTAGCGGAAGACGGTGCCGCAGTTCTTGTTCTTGCAGCTCAGCCCACGGGTGCCATTATAAGTGCCGCAGCGGGGACATTTCCTGATGCCTCTCAGCGTGGCCTTGCCCAGGTCGGAAAGGAAGGAGGGCACTTTGGTTCTCACCGATGTGGGCTCCATCTTCCTGGAAAGGCAGAGATGGGGGAGAAGCATCAGGATGGGGGAAGCACAGCTCGGTTGTGGTGACACCTACAGGTCCCCCGTGCAGCAGGTATGGAGGCCTTGCAGCTCCTGAGCTGAGAGGAACAGGAGGGGGAAGGTGGCTGATTGCCACAACTGCAGCAAGTCAGCACTTCCCCGCCCTGCACGTATGCAGGCTGCATGGGATGCATGGGCTAAAAGTGACGCAAAGCTTTTGGGTGCCTGCACAAATGTGTGAGATGGATGCATCGCCCCACATCCCCACTGCCTGCCTTGCTGCCAAGCTTCTTGGTGATCACAGAGCCAATAGAATGGAATGGGTTGAAAAGGACCGCCATGATCATCCAGTACCAACCCCCTGCTATGTGCAGGTCACCAACCAGCAGCCCAGGCTGCCCAAAGCCACATCCAGCCTGGCCTTGAATGTCTGCAGGGATGGGGCATCCACAGCCTCCTTGGGCAACAGTACAAGACATGGAGCTGCTGGAGGGGGTCCAGAGGAGCCGCAGAGATGAGCAGGGGTTGCAGCACCTCCACCACGAAGACAGGCTGAGGGAGCTGGGCTCGTTCAGCATGGAGAAAAAAAGCTGCGGGGTGACCTCAGTGCAGCCTGCAGTGCCTGAAGGGAGCCTGCGGGCAGGAGGGGAGTCAGCTCTGTGCAAGGGGAGATGGAAGCAGGACGAGGGGAAACGGTTTGAATGGAGGGAGGGCAGCTGGAGGCTGGATGTCAGGGGAAGTTGTGTGCTGTGAGAGCGGGGAGGGGCTGAACAGCTGCCAGAGAGGCTGCGATGCCCCGTCCATCCCTGGAGGGGTTGGAGGCCAGGTTGGATGGGGCCCTGGGCAGCCTGGGCTGCTGTTGAATGTGGAGGTTGGTGGCCCTGCGTGCGGCGGGGGTTTGGAGCTCCGCGATCCTCGAGGTCCCTTCCAGCCCTGGCCGTTCTGTCATGCTGTGATTTTGTAACATGTTCCAATGCGTCACCACCGTCTGTGTGAAAAAACACCTCCTCACATCCAACCTAAACCCGCCCTGTCTCACTTCAAAACCACTCCTCCTCGTCCCGAGGGGCTCCTGACAGAACAGCGCCATAGGAGCCGGTGCTCACGGAACCGCAGAGCTCCGCTGTTCCATTGGCCCCGATGTCTGACAGCCCCGCGCCCCCCCCGCCCCTCCCTGACGCAGCTCCGGACGGTTCGGCTGCCGCACGCAGCTTTGGTGCGCTGTGACCAAGGGGAGGAGGCGCTGCCGACGGCCGCCCCGCCGTGCGAAGCAGCCCAGAAGCAAAGCGTTCCCGCTCCCCTCCTCGCGCCCCGGCCCGCTCCCCTCAGCCCATCGCCGCGTGACGTCACCGCAGCGGCGTCGCCGTGACGTCGCCCCCCGCCGCCAGGGGCCGCCCCGCCGGCCCTTTCCCTCCGTCCCCCCGCCCCTCTGACGTCACTTCCTGTCCCGCGGGCGCGGGTCCCGCTCCGTTCCCCCTCCCCCTCCCCCTCCCTTCCTTTTTACCTGGGCGGCGGCGCGCACCCCCCGCTCCAGCCCGGGCCCGGCCGCGAGGCCTCTCAGCGCCCCACCTCCGCCATGGCGCCCGCCCGCCCGCCGCCGCGCTCCCATTGGGTCGCCGCGATCACGTGGGTGCGCCGCAGGGGGCGCTGGGAGATGGAGTCCACGGCGGCGCCATCGCGCACGCGCAGTTCCACCCCGTTTGAGCACCCCGTTCTAATTAAACCCACTTCCGACCTTTCCGCCCCAAAATCCAGCGCCCACCCTCGCGCCTGAGTTCAGCCCGGAACCATCGGGTAAAGAAACGAGAGCACACAGAACTTCGGTTTGATTTCTTTTTTTTGTTGTTGTTTTCTCCTTTTTTTTTTTTTTGTTTTGCATTTTTTTGAAGGCTGCTCATAGAGGTAGCACGGAAAGATCGCTTTTGGCCTCTGAACATCGAGAAATTCTTTTCCCAGCTGCTCCCCCAGCCTGGAACCTCCACGTTCATCGCACGGCTCCACAGAGGGGTTTTCTGTTTGCTTTCTTTTTGTTGTTTGTTTTGTTTTGTTGTTTTTAAACAGTTTCTTAAAAACAAAGTGAGGATGACTTTGTATTCAAAGACTACCAAGGTGTATATTTGATATCCACATGCAAAAAAAAATAATATATATATGCATAAATCAAGAACTCGGCGTCCTACCTTTAAATAAAGGAAACGTACAAAGTCGGCTATGTTTGTGCAAAATATTAATTTGCTAAAATATTTTACATAATCAGTACATGTAAATGTAGAAATCGATTTAAAAAGGAAAAAAAAAAGAAACAAAAAAAACCCAGCCACAACCAACAAAGCGAGGAGCTGGTTGGTAGAATTCGTCACATTTTCAGCGAGTTGTAACGGGGTTTCCCTGCAGCAGCAGAGATGGGGATCCTCTGCCATCGGCGTGGTGGAGGCACCCCTTCACACCCCGCAACGTCGGGTCGGTGGGCACCGATGGGGGGATGGAGGTCGTAAGGCAAAGGCTGAGCAAATGAACGGGTAGAAAACGATGTAAACTAAGAAGCCGGCCTCTGCAAGAGCCGCTCTGATGGGAGGGAAGGGATGGACGCTCTGTACAAGAGGCTCTTTGAGAAGGGCTGTGCAGAAGCTGAGGGCAGAGAGCCTCCAGGACCCCACACCATTTTGGCTTTTTTTTTGTGTTTTTTTTTTTTTTGTTTTATACAACAGCTTTTATAATACATTGTAAATCATTCGGAATGCAAACCACAACCGCACGCTGCTCCCGAGGGAATAATAATTAAAAAAAAAAAAAACAAAAAAAACAAAACCAAAAACAACAAAACAACAAGTCTGACGTTGTGCAATTTGCTGCCCCCCAGTTTAAGCGGCAGCAGTCCCTGCAATTTGCTGTGTTTCAACAGTGGGCCGTTAAGAAACACATCTAGAAAAGAGGAAAAGAAGGCAATGGTTGGCAGACATCCAGCATCTCGTTTTTTTGTTTTTTTGTTTTTTGTGTTTTTTTTTTTTTTTTTTAAAAAAGGGGGATACAAAATTAAGATTAAAAATGTTTTTTTTTTTTTTTTTTTTTTTTTTTTTTTCTTTCTCTTAAATAAATACATTGCATCTGATGCTTGCACTGACTTGATCTGACACATCTCTGTGACGCTGCTCGAGCCCCACCAGCACCCAGCTGCTGCGTTGGGTTCTCACTGTGTCTCAAATCCTGCCACTCGGTACCCGGCCTGGTTTGTCAGCACGCTGCCATTCTGCCCCTGGGGGGGCTGAACGCTGTAGTTTGCTCCCATCCACGCTGCTGATGACTGTGTCTGACTGTTGGGGGAGAAACAGCGCGTTAAGGAACGAAGGGATGACACCGCAGGGGATGGAAGGGACATGTGGAGATCCTCCCCACACAAAGCAGTTTCTCTGTGTTGGTTGTGGTGTATCAAGGCAGGCAGACCCCAGAAGGCCTGTGCTACTATTGCTTAAAAGCTGATAAATAAGTGTTGTGTGTCCCTTGCTTCCCTTTGCGTTTAGTTCTGAGTCAAGCCTTTGAAAGGGTGGATAACAGCAGGACAAGGGGTTTGAAGATGAGGGAGGGGAGATTTAGGCTGGATGTCGGGGGGAAGTTCTTTGCACACTTTGAGAGTGGTGAGATGCTGGAACAGCTGCCCTGTGATGCCTCGTCCATCCCTGGAGGTGTTCGAGGCCAGGCTGGATGGGCAGCCTGCTCTAGTATTAAATGTGGAGCTTGGCAGCCCTGCCTGCTGGAGGGAAACGGGAGCTTCGTGATCCCTGAGGTCCCTTCCAACCCAAACCGTGCTGTGATGATTCTATGATCTGAGACAGCTGTTACCAGCGTTGAGTGACAACAGCAGAACAGTTCCACACTGGCAGCACAATGAGCAGAATCCACATTTAGAAGTCGATGTGCTGAAGCTCAACGTCGTTTGGAAAATAATTGGAATAAGAAATAAGAATTCATCCGCTGCTGCCCCAACAAAGGCACACCAGGAGAGCTCTCCTATCCTCTCCTCAGCATTCGCACAGCACAGGCACTGCTACACCTAACAACTTCACACGCTGCGGCCTCAGAACATCACCTCCCTTAAAGGAAAATCCCTGGGATGTGACTTCAAGCTTGGGAAAGCACGGAGCATGTACTCACTTGAAGCCCTGCTGGTTCCACGCCTGCCCGTACATCCCATAGGCGGGCACCTGCCACCCGTTGGGCACGTACTGCCCCAGCTGCGCGTTGCCATACCACTGCCCCCACTGCCCGTAAGCCTGAGGGTATCCAATTTGATTCTGCAAGGACAAAACGTGTTAGGCACTGCCTGAGAACACGGCTCAGCTGCTCACAGCGCATTGTGCTTCGGATTGGAAGCTTGCAAGTGAAACGACACTGAAATGGAAACACAGATATCTAGCAGGACGCTCTTCAGAGAGCACAAGTGTTTCATTACTGAAGACCCCCAGTGTTTTGCGTGGGGTCTTTGCTTTCTCAGAGCCAAGAGCTTTCTCACTGAGGCCCAGGAAAGAGGAACAGCAGCAGCATTTCCTTCCGTGGCGCAGAGAAATGCCACGTGCAGGACAGCCTCCAGCAAATCTGCTTCAAAATTTTACCTCATTTTTTCCTTAGTAAGATCTCAAAGGATCTGCAATCGCTTTAGAGAAACACCCAGCAATGAAATAAAGAGCAGCCCCACGTCAAACCACCACGTGCCACAACAGCCACTCAGCAGGTTTCTAATGCAGGACTGATGTCACACAGCCATTTTGGACAGAGTGGAGGAGCACTTCTGACCTGCTGCACTGGGCTGACCATGTCAGGCGTCTCCTTCCCCCAGTAGCACTTCACCACGTGGCCCTCGATAGTCGTCCCATTGACAGAAACGATGGCGTGCGCGGCGCTCTCGTGAGAATTAAACCTGTTGGGATGGAAACGGTGCCAATGGGAACCAAACTGGAAGCATTACAAGCAGGCTGAGAAGCCTGCTGTTAGAACCCCCTGGTTAGGCACACAGCCACTCGTTTTCATTACATTCTTCCACCTGCTGTGCGATTGCACGACAGCCTACCGTACAAAGGAGTAGCCTTTATCTGGGAAGACTCGGATTTCCATTATCTGCCCGAATGGAGAGAAGGTCTGGCGCATTAACTGCTCTGCAACAAGAAGCAGCACAACGCCAGCATGAGGTCACACGGTTATCCGGAGTCATTCCGTGTGACACCGTGCTCTGGGGACACGATACCTGTCAGGCCTGAAGTGACGCCTCCACAGTACACGGTGCAGTTGCTGGGGCTGGACTGATTGACCACGTCATCGTAAGACAGTTGTTTGGTGTTTGCTTAAAAGAGATTTGCAAGAGTGGTTTTTTTTTTTTCAGTTGATCATGAAGCAGCTCTGATCCCATCCTAAGAGTGAGGAACCGTGCTGACAGAGCTGGTGACAAACGCTGCGAGCACAGTCAGCATTTTCACTCGGGTTTGTCTGGCTGCCCACAGCCACCCGCTCCTGTTTAGGATGGGCTGCTAATGACAGGGACACTGCTGTGGAATGAAGTTCACGTGTCAAGCTTATCAAGACACGCTTCATTTCCAATCTCTCTCATGGAAATGCTTTAATACAGCCCCTCTGGCTTTGCATCACAAAAGGAAGCCATAGTCCAAGAGAGCAAAGTTAAAACAACCCCACATTCATCCCAGCTGTCCTAACAGGGAGCAGCTTTCCAGAGCATGCAGAGCCAGCAGGAAGCCCTGGGTGGCAGTGGAAATACAGCTGTTCTAGCTCAGGAAGTTGATCTGTTCACCGTTTTGAATCGAGAATCTTTGCTTTTGAGCACCCACTTTCCCCTCTCCCACAGCTGCCAATTGCCTGGAGCTCACAATTCTCCCCTCCTCTCTGTGTGTGTGGTATAAGGTTTGCTTTTGCATATGCAAACACTCACATTCGTATGTACTCTTTGGAGCTGGAGGTTTTCTCGTTGCCCAGTTTGTTCTGATTTGCCTTCCACCGAGCCACTGGCCGCCCATCTGCTGAATAGCATTCTCTGCATCCTGCCCACAAGAGAGAAAAAACACTCACTTACTCCACTGCTGGCTCACCATGGAAGCCTGAGCATCACCAATGTCCCTAACCAAGAAGGAACGCCTGAGTAGCACAACTCTCCATCCAGGCTCACTGCTGCTTTTCTTCCCCACCTCTCACACCCACGAGAATCAGCGGGTTACAAAGCCATCCCCACCCTCAGCACGAGGGGAAACTGAGGACGTTTCGTTCCTGGGGAAGCCAGGAGCAGATGAGGACCAAAATTACTCCTTTTCTGCAGCTCGTACTGAAGATTCCCCCCTCCCCATTTCCAGACCGGGCACAGCTTACCCATTTATTGAAGAAGGAGACGAAGCCATAGCCTTTGGATTTGCCCGTTGCCATGTCCTTAACCACCCGTGCATCTCTAGAAAGCAGAAACAAGAGCCAGCTCAGCACCTCACAAAGCCGGCCCGACTAAACTCGAGTCACACTTACAGCTCATTTTCACCTTCCACCTTTACTAAAGTCAACTGTTTCTTGCACCAGCAACACAGTCAAAGCAAACGGCTTGGTTTCTATACAGAACTTTACTACTGCTTTGCCAGGTGGTAGCAAAATTAAACTTAATTTCGTAAACATGCAAATCAATAGCTTCTCTAACAAAGGTAGGTACTTTACGACAGTTGTTTCCGCTTCAAAAGGCTTTTACATACTGTTAAAGCACAAAGCATGGTCAAAGCAGCTATTCCAAAGGATCACTTAAGCCACTAACATGAGCTGAACGGCTCTCTTTAACCATGCAATCGTTACACTCAGCTCCTTTGCCAACACATTCTACCTACTCATTCAAAATATTAAATAGAAAAAATGAAAAAAGAGAGGAATTAAAAGGCATACGTCGCCTGTTAACTGAATTCTTTAATTTTCTCTGGTCAATTCGTGACCCCCTTTTGGGACTGTGGGCAGCTGTAAATTTTGAGAGATTGACATTTTCAGAAATTATTGAAGAAAACACCGAAACATTTACGTTTTAAACTAGACATTACAAACAATTCAAAGCGCGTTTGTACAACAGCAATCATACAGGACTGATTGGAAACTACAAGATATTGCAAAAAATAATAACAAAAAAAAAGAAGGAAAGAGAAAAAAAAAGAAAATATTTATAAAAGTAAATAAGAAAACTACAACGTTTGTCCACTGTGAACTGTAGCTTGTAGTTAGCCATGGCAATTCTGTCCATTCTTCAGAGACACTCTGCAAAATAACCAGAGCCCTATTATTTGAGATTGAGTTAAGAAGAAACCCAGCTACAAGAGCTAAACCCCCACTCACGGAAAGCCACTCGACAGCACTTCTCAGGCAATTTGTGTCCAGCTTAGCCAGGGGCTGCGATGCTCTCCAGGCCACCCCTCCTCCCCCCCCAACACGGAACAAGCATTAAAGAACAGAAAGCAAAACAGAAAACCGGTCAGCAAGTCATGCAATGGAATTTAGGTCTGCATAACATGAGAGGGTTCAGAGAAACCAGTGTAACATGGGCACAACACGTAGCATTCCGACTGGCCGGAGGAGTCGCAATGAAGAGGGGGTTGTTGCACCACTTCATTAAGCCTCACAGTAACTGCAGCTGCTGCATCCCGAGCTGTGGTGCACGTAAGCCTACAGCACCGACCCGAGGAAAATGCCTCTTCCAACGCCAGCAGCGTTCTTTCCTTTCTGTTTGCAACACCTCCCCCCTCCCTTTTGTTTCGTTTCTCCTTCCTGGTCTGAATTTGGGTTGGACAAATTGCCTGAGAAGAGCCACGCTGGTACTCTTAGCTGGTTTGCTCTCAACAGCCTAAAGAGGGAGGGGGGGAAGAACTCATCTCTACTTACCCTCAACTGAAAACTTTGAAAATAAGACTTGAGAACAAGTGAAAACATGCGTACAGTAAGCAGAAAAGGAAACCACAATGAATGTGTGCTTTTACAGTGATTAAAAAGTTCAGATGCAAAGAATTACCAACATTTCTTTATGGGCTAATCATGCAGTAGTTCAACCTTGGTTTCATATATATATATACACATAAAAAAAAGAGCTCAGTTTAACACCAATGTTAAAAAAAAATCGTAACAGATCGGGAAATATTCCATTAGCACATTTCCAGAAAGGAAGTCACTGATGAGGAACAGATTAGGTCAAACAGCTTCAATCGACTGCCGACGAGATGGCAGCAGTGTGGGTTTTTTTGGGTTCAGTTCCACCAACAGAAAACCAAGGCCCCTTCTGCTCTCCCTCACCTCTCCATGTTGGGAACAGGACTTTCAGGGAGTCGTAACAGGGATGATTTCTATTTGGCCTGTCCGTTTAAGGCAGGGCGAGTCACCAAGCTTCCAGCCTGCTCTACAGCTGCGTGCTGAGCACCACAAAAGCAGCAGCTCGTTGCCTTCTCCCCACCCCAGCTGGTCCTGATGCTGTGTCCTACAGGGCTTCGCTTTTGGGGGCTGTGTTTGCTGGAGAAGCCTGCTGGAAGGCACCTGAGGAACCCAGAGCTGAAGCAGCTTGGGGAAATTCCTTCGTAGCTCCACCACGTTCACACCGACGCAGCTGCCTGCTGCTCCCTGCCTTTCCTACCCTTTCCAGCAGCAAAGTGCCAGTGCAAACCCATTTTAGAGTCCCTGGGCCCTTCCATCCACACCGCATTTGGCCATGAGGATAAACTGACTCTGCTTAGGAGCCTGACCCTCTGAGTTTCCTAGGGGATACGAGTCGAGATTTAGAGTTCTCTGAAGCGAGTGACATTCAGATCACATGGTTTTTCTTAATTGTATCAAAGAGGAAATCAAGCTGGCATTAACAAGAGTAACACACTGGACTCTGAGGGAAAAACAAAAAAACAAACTTACTTCAATTAAAGGCTGCACTACACAACACTCCAAAGCACTCTACGTTCTCTTACATCACCATCAAGAAACTTCAATGTCCAGTACAGACAACACTACAAGGAAAATTAATGGTTTACATTTGGAGGATGGAAAGAACGAACTGCTCCTTACTCTGCTACACCCTGAGTCCAACAGACTGGCAGGCAGAGCTGCAGCCACCCCTTGGTACCACGTTCTCCTGTCACACTACTGCTCTGCACAGCCCATGAGTGTGACTCCAAAGCTGCCCCGTGCTTTTGGCCAAACACCTGGAGGCCAAACACTGGGTGCCACGAGGCTGCAAAGGGTTCATTTTTTTTTGGGGGGGGGGGGGGGGGGTGGGATTTTAACTGCCACAAATGGCTGCTGCTGGTGAAAACCCAAGGCCTCGTGAGGTGTGAGCATGCAAACGGGCTCACTCACAAACCATACAGCGTGACGCTGACGTGACTGCGGAGAGGGCAACTGAAACGTGTAACCCCACATTCAGGAATCATTTTTTTCCAGTGTTGCTTTGCTAAACAATGTGAGGAGTATGAAACCGAAGCATGTCGTATGCGACCTTTCTAGGAAAGCAGAAGAAGCTTCTAGAAAGAAATCTCTTTTCACAGCCCTGCTTAATGCTCAACCACTCAGAGTCCGGGCGCTGTATGAACAGATGAATTTGTTCTCCTGCACTGGGTCAACTTTTGGTTTTTACTTACTGAAATAAGAGGCTGCCTCCATTTAGGAGAGAGAACTTTTAGTTCATTTATCCTATCCAATTACTTACGATATTCTTCCAAACGGAGCAAAAGCTGCTTTTATATCTTCAGTTGTAATTTCAGGACTGAGGTCTCCAACAAAGACATGGAAATGGTCTTTAGGGGAAGAAGAAAAAAGGATATCAGGCTTTCTAACGCAGGACATTGTGTGGAACCTCGCTAAGATGCCCGACTGAACACCACAGGATGTGCAGAACAAATCCAAACAGCACCTTGCATGGCAGCGCTTTGCTGTTGAGGAATTTGAGTTCTCAAAAGCCAACAGTTTTGGTTGCTCAGCCGTTACACCACGTGAATTCAGCGCGTGTGAATCCGTGTGGAACTGAGACCGAAGGCCTTCGGGTGGTCAGTGGACACCCCTGAGATTTCATTCTATGTTTAAGATACAGTTACCTCGTGGTGCTGACAGCGGTACTACCTGACGACAAAGATCACATCTGTTCTGAAGTTCATTAACGCAAATTATCCAGTGGTATCTCAGGATTATGAACAAAACATCACTGTGTGATGCATAGGGTTCATGTTTCAAAGCTACCCGTGCAAACGAAGGGATCACTGCGTTCTGAGGGACACTTACTGCTCGTGTCTTTCTTCTGGCTGCTGGGAGTCGTTGCCCAGTTCACTTTGACCTCCTGCAAACACCAGTTGGCCACCAGTTAGATCAAGCACGTCACAGCTGAGCACAGACACCACCAGCACTTCATTCTGACGCTACGGGGAAGCCAGGCATGCAGGCTGGGTGAAAGCTTCTATTTAAGACACGTTTCTTGGGCATTTTGCTTGGCTGGGTGGGGTTTTTCTTGCAGGGAGTGGGGAGTTCACTGAGGTGCCTAACATCTGCAGTGCATCCACTTCAAGTGCCATCACCCCACACCAGCTGAGGCAGCCCGTGCTCTCCAGCTCCAACTCACCCTGTAGACATGACAGCTTACCTTACCCATTATCTTCCGGCCATTCATGGCAGCCAGTGCCGAAGCCGCGTGGCGATGCTCATAGAACTCCACAAAACAATAGGGATCATTTCCAGCTGTCTGATAGAAAAGAGAAAGATTTGTGACCACCAGCCCTTCAGGCTGCCTCCTCGTTATCACTCTCAGTGCCTTAGCCATGAAATCTGAGCAGCTCCAAACGAACAGGCTCTGTCACTGCAGGCCAACACCACACACAGCACGCTAACAGCGCTCCACGAGCGTTCAGCCCCGCTTTAAAAAGGTAAAAGTTGGCCCAAAAGAATCTACCATACAAGGTCTGTATGTTATTAAGCTGTCCTATCCCTTTCAAAATGCCCACTCATCCTTCAATATATCAGGTATGAGTCAGAAAATGTCACAACGTTTGTGATGGTGAACTCCCACCCCAGCACATGCCCAGAACTCGGTCACGTCGTACTGCCAGAAGGATCCTAAAAAGCACAAGGGCCCAAAGCCATTCGCTACAAGAGAGGGGAAATAATAATTAACTGAAGTCTCTTACATCCATGATCATTTTGCAGTTTTTGCATGGTCCAATCTGGCTGAACAGCTGGAGGATCAGAGCTTCTGTCACATCTCTGGACAGGTTCCCCACGTATCTGTAAGGCGAAAGGAAAGGTTAGAAGTGCAGATGTTCCCACAGGAGGGGGGTGCAGAGAAAAGTGATTTTAAGGGCATGTCAATAAACCAGCAACCCTCTCCATGCACGGATTGCAAGAGCCACAACTAGCAGGAGCTCTTGCTCTCTCCCTTTTTAAACATTAGCATGGTGTGGATAATAAATAAGCCGAGGCACCAGGCAGCAACACGCTCTCATGTGATTTTTCTAGGGCTGAGCTTACAGCAGTTTCCTTGTAAGCACAGGTCTGTGCCACGACCTTTGCACTAAGGCTGCATTTTCACCTCGATAAGCAGCTGCTGCACGAAGCATTCCCTGCCTGCAGGTTGGCTCGAGCTGGAAAGCAAAGGATTTGGCCAACAGATCTCTTGGGAGCACCACGAATTTCTGCACGGCCGCAGTCCTCTCAAAATGCAGGAACACGCACGTAAGCAGAGATGAATATGTGCACATACGTGTAATTAGGACCTGTGTGACCACAGGCCAGGGATCCCACACGCCTCTGCTGCCCGTCTGTGTGGCAGCACGTCTGAAGAGCTTTCTGCAACCCACAAGCTGCCAAACCACCATAAAAGCACAGCAACACCACCGAGTGGGCCCGGATTTAGGGGAAAAGCACAGAGCTGCACCCCCTCCGAGCAACACAGCAGGCTGTTTTCCCCCATGTACTCAGCAGCAAGCTTAAGCCACGCTCTCTGTGCTGTCCTTAAGCGGTTTAAACACACTCAAGCTTCGATAAGCATCTGCAAGTTTCTTTGCAGCTCTGCTCTCCCAGCCTGGACCTTGGACTGCACCGCTGCTTAAGAAATTAGTGCCAGGCAATGGCACTGGGGCCGGCCCCACCAGCAGCAGGGATCTCTCCTGCACAAGTCTTCCCACGTCTTTCCCCTCTCTGTTTTCTACTATTTGGATTCTCAGGTGCTTCTTTGCAGGTCACACACAAGGCAAATCACGCAGACAACTCCATCCACCCAGGGCAGGTTGATCAATCTGCGTCTTCTTGTGAAGTGCTCCCAAACCAGCGGCTGTTTGCACTCCCTCATCTTTTTATAAACACAAAACAAGTCCAAAGCGCACGTATTCGAGAAGCACACGGGGAAACTACAAACAAGAGCTCTTTGTAAAGTTCAAAAACGCGGAGCTGTAACCACCTTTCGCATTCATCACTGCTGGAGGGGGGCTTTCCAAGATGGTAACCGGCCACAGTGGTGTTTATCCAGGAAAACATTTCCGTGGCTAACATGGCTCCTAACGTCCTCCTGGATACCCCAGCACTGACATCTGCCCTGCTAGAAACGGGTTACGTGGACATCACACCGACAGGACCTCATTTCCACCAGCACCTCCTATAGAAACGCTGGTCCATCACATCATTAACACACATCTCAGAGCCACGCTGGCACGCAGCTGCATTTCAGCCTTCCAAGAAACCCATCTGAACCTCACACTGCGTAACTGAGCTCGTGACAGTCCCTCTGTGTGACTCCAGAACGTCAGGATTCGGAGAAAGGCAGCTCCTGGCATGTTGCTCAACAGCCAGCTCAGCAGAAACGCTGCCGTGCTTGTGCAACACGTGCTGCAGGACGGAGAATTCATTCCCTAGAGCATGAGCTGCATTCTGCTGAGACCACTTGGCTGCAGACAACAATTTCACTAAGGGGAAGGGGGAAAACATTCTGCTAAATAAACACACCGGCATGCCAACAGGTCTGACCCATGTTTGTGGATGCTAAGAATAGTTTAAGGACAACAGGATCATACATGTGCCCAAAACAGAGTAGCTGGCACAAGTCACGTAAGAACCTTGTTTTCCTCAAGTCACCCAGGGGCAAATTTTCCTCCTGCTTTGGCAAGATCCCTTTTCCCTCACTCAATCATTATAGAATGGCTTGGGTTGGAATGGATCTCGAGGATCACCAAGATCCAACCCCCTGCAGCCACCAGGCCACCAACCTCCAGATCTGCTACTAGACCAGGCTGCCCAGAGCTCCATCCAACCTGGCCTTGAACACCTCCAGGAATGGAGCATCCACAGCCTCTCTGGGCAGCTGTTCCAGCACCTCACTGCTCTCACTGTGAAGAAATTCCCCCCTGTATCCTGACAGTGTACATTCTTGGGCTGACAAAGATCATGACAGCAGGATATAGAAGTGGAAGTGAATCCCAGGACTTCACCAAGATCCAGACACGGGAATCAATGCAGGACGTGCCTGCCAGGCTAAGGAGGGAGCTGCACAGCTCAGCTCAGCACCTCATCCCTGTGTTGCACCAAAGCCCAAACACTTCCTGACAGTGATGGGCATCAGACGCGTGAGTGGGGCCAGAAAGTTCCCTGTAATTAGAGGAGCTCTGCGAGTTTAGCCAGGCAAGGAGCTGCCCTACAGCCACCGTTAGCTGCTCCCTTGGCTGTGAGAATCGCAAAATCACCAGGGCTGGAAGGGACCTCAAGGATCATGAAGCTCCAACCCCCTGCTGCACGCAGGGCCACCAAACTCCATATTTAATACCAGCCCAGGCTGCCCAGGGCCCCATCCAACCTGGCCTTGAACACCTCCAGGGATGGACGGGGCATCACAGCCTCTCTGGCAGCTGTTCAGCCCCTCCCCGCTCTCACAGCACACAACTTCCCCTGACATCCAACCTCCAGCTGCCCTCCCTCCATTCAAACCGTTTCCCTCGTCCTGCTGCCATCTCCCCTTGCACAGAGCTGACTCCCCTCCTGCCCGCAGGCTCCCTTCAGGCACTGCAGGCTGCACTGAGGTCACCCCGCAGCTTCTTTTCTCCATGCTGAACGAGCCCAGCTCCCTCAGCCTATCTTCATAGGGGAGGTGCTGCAGCCCCTGCTCATCTTTGTGGCTCCTCTGCACCCTCTCCAGCAGCTCCCTGTCTTTTTTGTACTGGGGGCTCCAGACCTGGATGCAGTGCTGCAGATGGGGCCTCACAAGAGCAGAGTAGAGAGAGACCATCACATCCCTGTCCCTGCTGGTCACCCCTTATGCTGAAGTGATCCTTATGGAGCTGAGCAGCTTTAAGTCCCACAGCTCTGCGAGCTGACAGCGGCAAAACAACACAGGGCCCATGGGCGCACGGGGGTTGGATGCTCTCAGAGATGTACGGGGGAGCAAAGCACGGGAAAAGACAAATCTGCAGCGGGAAAGGGGTTGGGAGACGTGGGCTAAAAAGGCCTCAGGGGGCGGGTGGGGAGGGATGAATACTGAGGGGGGAACAGCGCGGGCAAACAAGGCCCCTCAGGGCCGGCCCCGCAGCCTGCAGCAGGCCCAGGCCGCTCCCTTCTCTCTCAGGCGGCCCCGGGTCCCGCGGAGCTCGGATCGCCAGGCCGCGGCCGCGCTGAGGAGAGCCCGGGGCCGCCCCTCCCCGCGGGGCCGTGAACAATAGGCGGTCTCGCCCCCTCCACACTCACAGGGTCTTGGGCATTTCATCCTCCATGGTTGTTGTGGTGGCGTCGCCGCCTGCCGCCGACCCACCGCCCGACCCGGCTCTTCGCACCGAGCCGGCCCCGAGGCCCCGTCACCGCGTGGGCAACGCGACCGCCGCCGGCCCCGCCGCGCCCTGAGCGCCGGACAATAACCCCGGTGGTCCTCGCAAGATGGCGGCGGGCGGGCGAAGGGGCCCGGCCGGCACTGCGCATGCGCCCGGAGGAGGAGCCAATAGCACTCACCCCCTCAGGCGCCGGCCAGCAGCGCAGGCGCAGTAGCGCTACGCTGAGAGCACATGCACACTGGGGTATATGTGGGAAGGGGGAAGTCTGGGCTATGTGTACGCATGCGCGTTGCGGGGGTAGGGATGGAGAATTGGCGGCGTGTCAGCGCGCTGTGCTTTGTGAGCTCCTTCTGGCCGTGCCAGCTTCCTCCCTCGGGCAGAAGCGGTAAAAGAAGAGAGAGAAGTACAGTCAGTCAATAAAATAATTTAGAATCAAAAGTTTAAGTTGGAAAAGAAAAAAAACTTCTTGCGCCGCCCGGGAATCGAACCCGGGTCGCAAGAATGGGAATCTTGCATGATACCACTACACCAGCGGCGCTGCTGGTTGGGGTGATCCGTCGAATGCTTTAAATCCTCACCTCCGCTCCGCCTCTGAGCGGCCAGTGGGCGGGCATGTGGCCCGGCCCTGCACAGCACGGCTCGACAGAGCAGCGCCATGCCGCCCCGCTGCCTCCTCCTCCTGCTCCTCGCCGTTCTCTGCCCGCCGGTCACGGGCCGCGGGGAGCAGCGCGCTGCCCCGGGGAAGATCGGTACGGAGGGACCGCTGCGGGTTGGCGGGAGGGGGGTTCACTCTTTAATCCTAACGCTGTGCTCCGCTCTCACAGCCGTGATCGGCGGCGGCATCGGGGGGACGGCGGCCGCTTATTTCCTGCGGCAGAAGTTCGGGAGGAGCGTGCGGATCGAGTTGCTGGAGCGGGGGGAGGTGGGCGGCCGCTTGGCCACGGTGGAGATGGAAGGGGCGAGCTACGAGGCGGGGGGGTCCGTGCTGCACCCCCTCAACCTGCACATGAAGCACTTCGCCAAGGAACTGGGTGAGTATCTTCCAGCCAGTGCACGGCGGGGGCTGCGCCTCTGCTATGGGGTGAGGGCTCCGCATCCCACCCCACGTCTCCGCCCCATAGTCGCGCTCCCTGCACGGCCAAAGTCATCTCAGATCACGGCCTGGCGCTGTGTCAGATCCCGAGGTCTCGTTGGTTGCTGACAGCCCTCGTTGTGCCCTCTGATGTTGAGACACTGCAGTGGGTCGAGGGCCGCTGAAAGTAGAAGTGCTGCAGCTGGCTTCTGTGCTTGTTGGTCGCAGTTCAGGAGGAGAAGGCTCCTTCGGTGTCCTTATATGTCAAGGTCAACCGTCTGATGGAGTGAAAGAAGCCATGCTCTGCTATCTGTTTGCATTTAAGCAAAGCTTTCCACGCTGTTTCTCACTTAGAATCATTCAGTTGGGAAAGACCTCAAAGTCCAGCCCATCCCACTGTGCCCTCTGTCCATGTTCCTCCATACAACACTTACCATTAAACACCTCCAGGGACGGTGATCCCCACTGCAAACACCTTCCTGGGCATAAATTGCTCCTAATATCCAACCCGAACCTTCCCTGGTGCAACTTAAGGTCATTACCTCTTATCCTGTTACTGCTGTGGGTGAGCAGTTGGCTGATGGTTGGGCCCAAAGGGTTTTGGGCAGTGGGGTTCCATCAGGCTGGTGGCTAGCAGGGTTCTCCATTTTGGGACCAGTTCCCTATAGGAGTTGGGATTAAGATCCTTATGGGTCCCTTCCAACTGGGGATGTTCTGTGATCCTTGTGATGTGGATGATTCTTGTTCTGTAATTCAGTGGTGTGGATGTGGGACTGGAAGGTGTCTCGAGTGAGTTGGCTGATGATACTGAACTGGGAGAAGGAATTGCCTTCATCAAGAGTGGAGAGGCCTGGGCAAATCAGAGGGCTGGGCAGACCTTCACCCACGTGAAGTATAACAAGAGCAAGTGCTGATTCTGGGAACAGAGCAGCCCTGGGTGTATGTACAGACCGGAGGAGGAGGAATGGGCAGAGTGAAGAGCCATGGTTGGACCAGATGGTCTTAATGGCCTTTTCTAAGCTTAATGATTCTCATCCTACAGCAAGCTGAACATGAGTCATGAGTGTGCTCAGGCAGCCAGAAGGGCCAGCTGTACCCTGGGGTGCATCAAACAGCATTGCTGGCGGGTTGAGGGAAGGGATTGTCCTGCTCTGCACCTCACTGGTGAGGCCTCACCTTGAGCACTGTGTGCAGTTTTGGGCACCGCAGTACAGAGTGGACATAAAACTGTCAGAGTGTGTCCAAAGGAGGGCTGCAGAGATGGTGAAGAATCTAGAGGGGAAATGTACGAGCAGCTGGAGTCTCTTGGTTTGCTCAGCCCAGAGAAGAGACTGAAGGGAGGTATCACTGCAGCCTGCAGGGATATTCAATGGCTCTGTGACTCACCTCTCATTAAATCACCTTTGTTCACCCTTTCCTCCAGGCCTCCCTGCTCTCCCTGTCCCTGGCAACCTCATGGGCATCTATAACGGAGACGAGTTCATCTTCGAGGAGAGCAGCTGGTACATCATCAACATCCTCAAGCTGCTGTGGCACTATGGGTTCAGCCCCCTGCGGATGAACATGTGGGTGGAGGACATCTTGGACAAGTTCATGCGGTAAGGCAGCTGCTCAGCCGTGTTCACGAGTGGCAGAAACGTTAGGGGAGGTCGTGGAGGGGGATGGCTGATGGGAAAGGTGAATGAGAAGGTTGGCATGAGTCTGCCATTCTGTTTTACCTGCTGCTGAGCTGCACAAACTGGTGAAATCACCCAACTGAAGAACAATTCTCTGGTTGTCCACTGCTACCCAACCTTTCCTAAGGAAAAAGGTCAAGATTGGTGCTGTCACCTTGTTAGGGGCACTGAAAGAGGCAGTGTGCTGGTGGCGGGTTAGAGATTGCACTGTCCATTGGACTTTAGCACTTGGGTGCTGGAGATCCTTGGATTTGTAACTGCACAAAGTGCTTTTATCAGGAAAGGTGAACAGATGATCGTTTTAGGCCCTTGGAATTTAGGCTGGGAGGAGGAGCTCTGCTGCTCCAACCAAACACCGTGAGGCTCTTGGGAGTCCTACGCCAGAAGGCACGTGAAGTTCTCCTCAGCTTCCAAGGGCCACAGAGATAATCAGCAGCAACTGAACGCTTCCGTTCCCTTCCCAAGATAAGAGTGCCTTGGGTAACCCACATGTGGTGCAGCTGTAAGATGCATTTCCTTGTCTCTGGTTAAAGGATCTATCGCTACCAGACACACGACTACACCTTCAGCACTTACGAGCGCCTCTTCCACGCCCTTGGAGGGAACGACTTCACCCAGATGTTCAACCAAACCATCGATGAAGCCATGCAGAAAGCCAGCTTTTCCCAGAAGTTCATAAATGAGATGGTCTGTCCAGCCATGAGGGTCGATTACGGGCAAGGTGTCAACATCAATGGTTTTGTAGGTGAGCATCTTGGTGTGCTTCAGGTGACGCCGTGTGCTTTGGGATTCCTGCTCCCTGGGCTGGGCAGATGCTGGCAGCAACCTATTTATTCCTGCTGCAGAACAATTCCTCCTACTGTTAAGCAGCACCCTCCCTTGCTGGGTTACTGGGTTACTCTGGCAAGCGAGCAATTGCTTGCTAACATGACCTACTTAGCCCTTGTCCTCATTCAAGCTCTGTGTCCCGTTGGGATGTTTTCTCCTTTCATTTTCCACGTGATGTTTTGAGTGGTCCCCTACAAAACGGTGCTGAACAAGCAGTGCTAATGACTGTGGTTTCCTTGTAGGTGCTGTGTCTCTGGCAGGGGCAGGATCAAGCCTTTGGTCAGTGAAAGGGGGAAACAAACTTGTCTGCACTGGTCTTATTTACGCCTCGAAAGCAGATGTTATCGCTGGTACAGTTGTGTCTATAGAGCCCAAAGTCAGGAAGAGATCCACAGGTGGGTCCCGTTTGCTTTCCCTTTGGTGGGGGGGGGAATAGCCAGCTCTGGCAGCTACACACTGACCTTTGCTCCTGGCAGACCAAAGCAACAGCCTGGGCTTTCTTTGGTCTTTTACAATGAAAACTGTGCTCTGTTTAAAGCCTCAGATCACGGCCCTGCCATCAGCTAATCCTATACTGCTCAAACAAGCCTTGGTTCACAGCAAGGCATAATCACAGAATCACAGAACGGCCAGGGTTGGAAGGGACCTCGAGGATCATGAATCTCCAACCCCCCTGCCACACGCAGGGCCACCAACCTCCACATTTAATGCTAAACCAGGCTGCCCAGGGCCCCATCCAACCTGGCTTTGAACACCTCCAGGGCCGGGGCATCACAGCCTCTCTGGGCAGCCTGTGATGGCAATCAAAGCATGTTTGTCAGAAGTACAGCTGAGGTGGAACAGCATCACTGAGCTCTTCACCCCTCCTGTCTTCCCCAGGGGACCCAGTTCACCTCTACCACGTCACCTACGACACGCCGTCAGGACAGACAGGGGACATCTATGACATCGTTGTCATTGCTGCTCCTCTGAACCGCAAAATAGCCAACATCACCTTCAAGAACTTCAGCCCTCCGGTCCCGGAGTTCTCCAGTCCTTACCAACAGACCGTGGCCACGTTTGTGCACGGCCGCTTAAACGCCTCCTTCTTCGGTTACCGGGACCCATCCGCCTTTCATCTGGGTGCCATTTTCACTACAGAAAATCCCAAACTGTTCATCAACAGCGTGGGGATCGTATCTCCTGTGGAAAACAGAGGCAGCGAAGAAAAGCCACCCTTGCAGTCAGCAGTCTGGAAGATATTCTCAAGGGAAGAGCTCACGAAAGAGCAGATGAACTTGCTTTTCTCCTCCTACGACTCCGTCAAGGTGAAGAAGTGGCTGGCGTACCCCCACTACAGCCCCCCAAATAAATTCCCACCTATCATCCTCCATGACAACATCTACTACCTGAATGGCATCGAGTGGGCTGCGAGTGCCATGGAGATGAGCTCCATTGCAGCCAAAAACGCCGCGCTGCTCGCCTACCACCGCTGGTACGGCAACGCAGACAAGATCGACCAGGAAGATTTGTATGAGAAACTGAAAACAGAGCTTTGAGCTGAGCGCCACCACGGCCCCCAGAGATACAGATCGCGTGCTGAAGGTGTGCAGTCGCAACTAAAAGGAATAAAGGAGGAGCTGGGATGGTGCGATTTTATTCTAACTTCTCACTTAGCATCGGAGGAGGAGGAAACATCCAGCCAGCTCCAGACACAAGCTGACTTGAACTGCTGTCACAAAGTGGGGGGCACTTTCCCAAGTGGGCTGGCCCTCCCTCAAGCAAAGCCTTCAATCTGTCCCTCTGTAAGATAACCAAGGTGTTTTAAATGCCACATTGACCCTAAAGTGTCCTTCAGATCCTACCGAGCCCAGGATTTGCATCACTGTGATTAACTGAGCGTTGTTCCCTTAGACCTGTGCATGTCGCTTTGCCTCTCTGGATATCTCTCCATTGTGGGGGGGGAAATAAGCCAGCTTCTTAGCATTAAATCTCTCTGCCTCCACTTTTTTAAAAGGGTGTATCGAGGAGCCCTCGGGGTGGGACGGGTGCAGGGGAAATGGTGAACACGTTCTTTACTTTCATTCAGAACAAGTTCTGCAGCTGGGGGAAGGAGGAGAGAGAAGAACAGAAGCAGAGCTGTGCAGGAGTTGCCAAAACAAGTGGAAAACAGGCAAAACACACAGAGCCTGTACTTCTCTTCCATCAAGTTTTGGAAGCATCAGCTGCTTGGATGACCTAAAAACGACAGCAGGGCAGCAGTGGTTTGTAGCAGATAAACTCTTCTGTCCCATGACTGGATCTAATATTGCTGAACCTCACCCACGTCTAACTATGCAGTAAATAGGATGTTGCCATTACAAACAGAAGTAATGCACTGGTTTGAATATAAGCCAGAGGTGTTGCCTTGAACTGGTGCCTGTGTCACTCGCGTGGTGCTGTTTTGGTGCTGTCTCTCAGAGCTGCTGCTTGGTCCTCCATCAACAGAGCTCTCCTGTACCAGCAAGATTTTTGCTTGCTTAGCTCAAATTCTCATTAACAAGCTTCCGCTAGGCACTGCCTCACACTTGCTGTGCTGGGAAAGATGAACACACTTGATTAAAGCTAAACTGCAGGACTTGCACAGAGATTAGCAACCTCACTGCTGGTCTGCGCGTGCTGGAACACAATTCAGCTCTTAGAAGCTTGCTGGTGCCTTGGGGTCAGTGCTTTGTTCTGTCTGCTTCACCCCCTGGGCTGCTTGGAGGCAACCAGAACAACCAAAAACACTTTTGCCTCAGCACAGAGGTGAAGATCACCACGAAGTTGCAGGCAAACACTTCAGCTGGAGAGATATTTCAGTCCCCTCCACTCTTTACAGAGCAATGCCAGAAATAGAAGTGTCACAGCCTGTTATTTATGGGGGGGGAAAGATACAGGCAGTAACACCTGAACATCTGCTGGAAGAAATGAAACTGCCTGAAAGTCCTCCCCCCAGCTTTAGAGCTGACACTGACACACTGCTGCACTCACAGAATTAACTGCCCCAGGCTTCAGTTACACCAAGTACAGCTTACACAGGGTTACACCAACCAGTACAAAATTTATTTAACAAAAAAATAAGCTTACACTTGTGGTTGCTTCACTAGATTCGAGTGAGTAAACAAAACACAACAGGGTCGGGTCCCTACGGGGTTCCTCTGCCACTATACTCGTTCCAAAGCTTCCAGCATGATGATGCTGTTTCCTCGTATTACCTACAAAGAGAAGTTGGCAGTAAGAGGTGAGATGAAGCACACTGTTACCCACAGCACAGAAGGTTCTCTTTCCCTCTGTCTTTTCCTCCCGAAAAGCTGCACAGCACACACAGCTCCAAGAACTGAAGTGAATCACGGAACTGCAGGGGCTCATGGCAGCAGTCAGACTGCTGGAAAAGGCTCCTGCAGGAGGGTGGTGATAGAAAAGGTGGATGAGAAGCTTGACACAAGACAGCAACGCGTGCTTGTGACCTCACAGCCAACAGCATTCAGGGCTGCAGCAACAGAGGGGTGGCAGCGGGCAGGGAGGGGTTTGTCCCCCTCTGATTTGTCCTCCTGCATCCAAGCCTGTGGCCCTCAGCACAGGAGGGATGTGGGGCTGTGTGACAGGGTTCAGAGGAAAGCCATGAGGATGCTCAAAGGGCTGGAGCACATCTCCTGTGAGGCTGTGACAGGCTGAGGGGGCTGGGCTTGTTCAGCAAAAGCTATGAACACACATCACTGGGGTCTACCAGTACTTTAAGGGAGCTTATAAACAGAAGAGAGAGTGACTTTTTACATGAGTAGATAGCGATGGGACAAGGAGGAATGGTCTTAAACTAAAAGACAGGAGATTTAGGTTAGACGTCAGGGGGAAATTCTTCACCATGAGGGTGGTGAGGTGCTGAAACAAAGGAGCTTTGGGTTCCCCGTTCCTAGAGGTGTCCAAAGCCATGGATGGGCACTGGTAGGCCTGAGCTGGAGGGGGGCACACAGCCCAGGGCAGGAGGTGGGACTGGGGGGCTGTAAGGTCTCCCTCAACCCAACCATACTGTGATGCTACAACTCCCAGCTCCCCATGCACTCACCACCATGCCGATGTTGTTCTGCTGCCCGCCGGGCGCCATCTCCACGCACTCATCGATCACCAGGTTCATGAAGGGGTCGAAGCCCCGCAGGATCCCCTGCACGTGGCGGCCGCCATTTAACTTCACTACGAGAAACGGGATCATTGCGAAGCAATGGGGGGGGGGGAGGGGGTGGGAATCAGCTCAAAGAGCAGCGTCAGAAGGAAGGGGACCCGGGGCTGCGTGCCTGCCGGGGGCAGCTGGAGCTCAGGGGCAAAACCTTCCCCCCCCCCCCCCCGGTACGGCAGTGCGACTCACGTGACAGCTTCTTGTCCATGAACCTGCAACGAGAGCGGAACAGGAGGAGGCCGCGTCAGTGTGGGGTCGGGGCCGCCATCACTGCGAGCCTCACCGGACCCGGACCCGGACCCGGACCCGGACCCGGACCCGGACCCGGACCCGGACCCGGACCCGCGACCTTCCCGTGCCGCTGGGACCACCTCAGACCCCGCTGCTCCCCCTCAGCCCCCCCCGCGGCCCGCCTCTCACTTCTTCAGCTCGGGTGGATGCGCTTTGCTCATGGCGTCTCCTCAGCGCCGCTGCCACTCGCGCCGCGCTCTGACGTCATCACGTCGCCCGCTTAGCCAATGGAAGCCCCGCCCCTCTTCCCGCCACCCCTCGCGCCTCGCCGGCAGCCAATAAGAGCGCTTGATGGGGCGTGCGCATGCGCGCTGGGAGAGGTTCCCGGCTCGCGCACAAGCGGTGGCGCCATCCAGCACGTGCGTGGGAACCCGCAGCTCTGCTGCGCAGCATGGGCTGCACTGCGTGCACACCGCACTGCACGCCCAGCACACGCACCGCATTGTATGCACACTGCATTGCACGCCCAGCACAGCACACACACTGCACTGCATGCACACTGCACTGGATGCCCAGCACACACACACTGCACTGCATGCACACCGCATTGCACACCCAGCACACCACACGCACTGCTCGCACAGCACACTGCACCACATTGCATGCACACCGCATTGCACACCCAGCACAGCACACACTGCACTGCATGCACACCGCATTGCATGCCCAGCAAAGCACACACACCGCACTGCATGCACATTCACTAGAGTACACACACTGCACCGCATTCACACCACACTGCATGTCCACTATAGTATGCCTCATTGCACCTGTTGTACACCTCATTGCACACTGTTGTACACGCACTGCACTGCATGCATGCCATTACACACGCACTGTATTGCATGTGCACCATTGCACCGCCACTACACTGCATGCATACTGCTGTACACCCACTGTTTTGCACCCACAGGAATCACCCCATGCCTGGGCAGTAATCCCCGGTTGCACCCACCTTGCATGCACACAAAGGCACTGCCCCATACACTGCAAGTCCTGCATGGCTCACTGTGCACTTTGCACGCCTGCATGGTTCACCCTGCACATCTTGCACAGCCGTCAGCTCACAGCTTGCACGTCTGCACCCTGCACACTTTGCACACTTGAACACGGTACCCCACGCCCTGCAGAAGCACTGCCCCACACCTTGCACACCTGCACCCTACCCTATTGCAGAAGCACCCCCCGCTCACTGCACGCTTACACCCAGCACCCCACACTCTGCCACACACCTTGCACATCTGCATGGCTCGCCCACCACAACTTGCACACTTGCACAGCTCACCGCACGCACTGAACATTTGCACGGCTCACTCTGCACACATCGCACAGGTGTCACCCCATGCCTTGCACACCTGTGCCCCATCCACCCATACATCCACACACACTGCACACCCATCATCCCATCCCTTCCAAAGCTTCACCCCATACACTGCATGCTTGCATGGCTCACCCCACACCCCATAGCTTGCACACCTGCATGCCATACCTTGTGCAGCCATCGTCCCCCACTTTGCACACCTGCACCCTCTCTATACATTGCACATTTGCATGGCTCATCCCTACACACCGCACAGCCATCACCCCATACCTTGCACACACCCACCCCATGCACTGCACTGCCACTACCCTACACCTTGCACACCTGCATCCTACATTTTGCACAGCCATCACCCCACTCCCCCAGCGCCCCTCCAGCACCACGAGTGCAACTCCTTGCCTTTAATACCACCAGCCCCACCCCAACAGCATCCATTAGTGCTGTAGGGCTGCCAACCCATCCCGCATCCTCTTGGCCATGCCGGGCACCAGGCGCAGGTGCTCGTCCCCACAGGCAGCCACGCAGGCATCGAGCTGGGATCGTGCCCTTGTCTCCCCACCGCCCGCCTCCAGGGCATCCTTGGCTCTGTCAGAGCAGTGCAGCGTGCAGCGGCTCAGGCGGTCCTGCAAAGGGACAAGGGGGCACAGGTCACGAGAATGACAGAAATATAGGGGTTGGAAGGGAGCTCTGGGGTTCCCTCAGTGTTTACATGGTGGATCGGGTCCCCTCTCAGCCTTCTCATCCCCAGCTGAACAACCCTTGGGGTTCTCAGCCTCTTCCCATCATGGGATGCTCCTCTCTCTACCATCTCTATGGCTCTCCAGCAGTTCCCTGTCTGCCTGGATCTGAGGAGCCCACAGCTGGACCCAGCGCTCCAGATGTGGCCTCCTCAGGGCAGAGTGGGAGCACCTCCCTTGCCCTGCTGGCCACACTGTTTGTAATGGACCCCAAGGTCCAACTGGTCTTCTTGGCCACCAGGATGCACTGCTGACTCGTGGTCAGCCTGTGGTCAGCCACTGGTCAACTGCTGGTCAACCACTGGTCAACAGTTGGCCAATCATTGGTCAGCTGTTGGTCAACTGTTGGTCAACCACTGGTCTTCTGTTGGCCAATCATTGGTGAGCCACTGGTCAACTACAGGTCAACTACTGGTCAACAGTTGGTCAACTACTGGTCAACTGCTGGTCAACCACTGGTCAGCTGTTGGTCAACCACTCAACTGTAGGTCAACCAGGACCCCCAGGTCCTTCTCTGCCTTCTCCTTCTCCTCATCCAGCAGCTCAGCCCCCAGCCTGCACTGACGCATGCAGTTGTTCCTCCCCTGGTGAAGGACCCCACGCTTGCTCATAAGAACCTCATCAGGTTCCTCTCTGCCCAGCTCTCAGCCCGCCCAGGTCTCACTGAACAGCAGCACGGCCTTCTGAGGTGTCACCCCCCATGATGTGTTCATGTAACCCCAAATATCCTCACCTGGAAGCGTTCCAGCTCGCCGGTGACGATGGCCTGGGCCTGGGCCAGGGGTGCATGGCAGCGCTCAATGCAACGCTGCACCTGCTGCATGGAGGCTGCTCTGTCCTCACAGCACCGTGCGCTGCAGTGGAACATGGTGGCCTGCAAAGGGTGGGCAAAAAGGGGGGGGTTAGCATGGTGCAGCACCCAAGGGACTCCTCCTAATGTGTGAGCAATCCAAGGTACACCCAGAAGCGCACAGAGCTGAGGGCTGCAAGGCAGGAACAGTTTGCGCAGAGCTTGCACATAGGGGATGCAAACATTTTGCACGGGGCATGCTTGGGGGATGGGGGGGTTGTACAAATGTGTAATGAGCCCCAAGATACCATCGGCCTTCTTGGCCATGGGAGCACATTGCTGGGTTGTGGTCAGCTGTTGGTCAACCATTAGTCAATCATTGGTCAACCATCAGTCAACCACTGGTCAACTGCTGGTCAACTGCTGGTCAGCTGTTGGTCAACCATTAGTCACCCACTGGTCAATTGCTGGTCAACCATCAGTCAACCACTGGTCAACTGCTGGTCAGTTGTTGGTAAGCCATCAGTCAACTACTGGTCAACTGCTGGTCAACCATCAGTCAACTACTGGTCAATTGCTGGTCAGCTGTTGGTCAACCATTAGTCACCCACTGGTCAATTGCTGGTCAACCATCAGTCAACCACTGGTCAACTGCTGCTCAGCTGCTGGTCAACCAGGTCACCCAGGTCCTTCTTCACAGAGCTAATTTGCAGCAGCTCAACACCTAATCTAGGGGGCTGCACACATTTTGCACAGGGGAGGCACCTGGAGGACACCCAGCTGGCACACAGAGCACGCACTGGGGAGGGGAGGGGGCACAAAGTCTGTACAGGGCAGGGCATCATGCACTCGGGGTGGGTACCACCAAGTTTGCACAGGGCACAAAACCTTCCCAGGGGGGATGCACAAATCTTGCATAGGGTGTGCACTGGGGGGGGAGGCAATGAAGAGGCCACAGGGGATGCAACTGGAGGGGAGGGGGCACAAATTTTGCACAGGGCATACGCTTAGGGGGCACAACGCTTGCACGCAGAGTATGCACAAGGGGGGAGGGGGGACGCAGGGCACGCACTGTGGGGCAGAAATCTTGCACACAGAGCACGCGCTTGGAGGGATTGCAGGGCTTGCGCTTGGGGTGGGGCCACGAAGTTTGCACAGAGCGCGTGCTGCAAGCTTGGGGGGCTAGGGGGCAAGCT